CAGTCCAAAATGTTTTGTTTTTTTAAAATGCAAGCTATTGGGACACCAGTGAGTGAGTGGTGGCACTGGGCAGGCCCTGAAACGCACACTCGTGAAGGAAACTGACTGCTATTATATTACAGTCAAAAAAGTTTTGTTTTTTTAAATGCAAGCTATTGGACACCAGTGAGTGAGTGGTGGCACTGGGCAGGCCCTGAAACGCACACTCGTGAAGGAAACTGACTGCTATTATATTACAGTCAAAAAAGTTTTTTTTTTTTAAATGCAAGCTATTGTGACACCAGTGAGTGAGTGGTGGCACTGGGCAAGTGGGCACAGTATATGCTGTGAGCCTGACACACAGGCTGGCAGACAGGCAACTGCAATTACATTACACAGAAAAAAAGCAGACTGATGTTCTAGCCCTAAAAAGGGCTTTTTGGGGTGCTGTCCTTACAGCAGAGATCAGATGAGTCCTTCAGGACTGTAGTGGACACTGAATACACTAGCCTAGCTATCAATTTCCTTATCAAATCAGCAGCAGCTACACTGTCCCTCCTCTCACTAAGAATGCAGCTTCACAATGAATGCAAAACGGATACGGTCCAGGAGGTGGGAGGGTCTGGGAGGGAGGGTCTGCTGCTGATTGGCTGGAATGTGTCTGCTGACTGTGAGGTACAGGGTCAAAGTTTACTCAATTATGACGAATAGGGGGTGGACCGAACAGCGCATATGTTCGCCATCCGTGGCGAACGTGAACAAGCGATGTTCGCCAGGAACTGTTTGCTGGCGAACCGTTCGGGACATCACTACTGGGCAACATGGGGACACTGACACTATGATACATAGGGACACTGATGCAAGGCTGGCTTTCCAGTGACCCTATTGGCTGACTCATCTGTCAATCAACCGAGCACTGAGATTGATTGGACACTTCCAATCACCAATTAGAGGTTCTTTTGCCCTGAAGAGCCGCCTGTGACAGATCCCTCTGTCTTGGAATTTTCTGCTCATTCGTCTGTTTGTTATTGCATTTCCCTGTCCGTACGGGCCCTATGTTATTTCCCCATTTCACCGAACTATTTGCTGAACGGCCTGCCACCCAGCGGGGAAGTGTGCTGCTTGTTAACCTCTTGGCCACATTCGAATGTTGTGGTTAACCGCAGACACTTCCTCTTGTTAATGGTCGACTTGGTGGGCATCGTTCAAATGAACAAATACGAGGCGGCGGCCATCCCAACGGTGTTTCGACGATTTCGTAGAACTATAAACGGCTACAGTTTTCACACGAACACCGCTGACCTCCCTTCATCCGTTTTCACATTCACACAAACACCATCCATTAGGTACATTTTCCTACGAACAGAGCCACCCCAGATAGCGATCCCATGGAGCCCATTTGTATACCGAAAGACTGTGTGAAAGACTTTGGCTCCATGGAGATTGAACTGTGTGTATGGGATCTGAGCGCTATTCAGTAATATTGTGCGCTCAGATCCAGGCTATCTGGGGGTTCATTGAATGTGGGAATTCGGTTCGTGAGTTTTAAAGTTTTATATTTTTATGCATTTTTATTAACATGTACAAAATGGCGATTTTCCTCTATCCTTGGAGATAATTTAATTACTTCCCAATTATCTCCAGGATAGAGAGGAGGGTCCACCACACCTAAAGGGGAGTGTTTATAGCCAAACTGTTCTCATTGGCTACTGTATTACTGTTCCCCTAGTTTTCCACCAGGTCCCCTAGGGGAGTGTCCACCTGGTGGAAGACCTGCATAAATACCGGACAGATGGCCCACATTAAATCAGATTTCTACTTGACCCTCAATACAGAGCCTCGTCTCATACTTGGGGGGATTATTCGTATGGTTTTCCTGTTCGACTATCTGGTGTATGGATTTCGTAGGATTGCTGG